GAAGCTAGACATACACTCACTTCGACATATTGGTCTTAGAAGTGGGTTGGGTTTTGTGTTAATTAACGGGAATTATACCATCCAAAATATCTGAATGGCGTCTATGTTATTATATAATTTCACTACATGAGCTTTGTAACTTTGTGAAGCAGTACATAGTAATTTCATTCTTTATTATTATTATTATTTACATAAATCACGTATATCTTTTATGAAAGACAATCTTGTTCAAGACTAGTTCAGAATTAAAATTTTAAACCTCTTCTAAATATAGTATTGGAAAGGATCGAACACATACTTTCACCTAGGGATGTGCAATGGTCGAACCGAATTGGATTTTTTGAAAAACCGAACCGAATTGGTTTAGTTGGTTCGATTCGAAAGTGGTTCGGTTCAGTTCGGAACCGGTTCGGGTCAACCCTCTTTTGAAAAGAAAAAAAATTAAAATTTAAAAAATAAAATTATAAAAATCAATTCGGTTCAGTTTGAAAACAGTTGGGTTCAGTTGGGTTCAGAAACGGTTCAGTTCGGTTCAAAATGGTTCGGTTCTTAAATTGGTTCTAAAACCGACTCGGTTCATGAACTGATTCTTTAAAAACCGGTTCGGTTCATGAACTGATTTTTAAAAACTGATTATTTTAAGAACGGTTCGGTTCGGTTCATGATTCGGTTTAATTTTTTTGATTATTTTGGACACTCCTACTCTCACCTCCCTCTTACTCAACTCCTGTGTGCCAACTAAATTATCATCGTTTTATTTTTTTTTATTATTTCCTTCTTATGGTCATTAGCCCTTGAATGCGGTGCCTATAATCGTGTCCAGCCCAGAGAAATTTACTATATTTTTTATTTTTTTTGGTACAACGTAATTTACTATTTTACTTCCATCACAGACTCATGTTTGACCGTACTTACACATTGTACTCCATCGTGATATTTCTGGCTGATGCCTGATGGAGTTCATTTCGATGGTCCAGATTAATTCTGATATATGCCATCTTTTCAAGATTATGACCTAGTATTTTTTTTTTTGTGTGTGAATTGACCTAGTAATTTTAAGGGTCTTGGGAACTTAGGATAATCACTCCGTTTAACCCTCTGCCATGGAGACATATTGGGCGGTTTTACTTTTCGACTGCATCTCAATTCACCCATATAATTTATTTTCGAATTCCCCTTAATTGTTACATATTAGTACAATATTATCGTTTGATAAACTGATAGTTTGACATTATCATAATATTTACCTCAAAAGTCATTAAAACTGTAAAAATTCATTTACAAAGAAAAGTAGACTATAGATTCATTTAATTTTTTTAAAAAATAACTAAATGAATAATTAAGTTTAAAATCCCGAGAAAAAAATTCTGAACTTGACGAAAAATTCTTATAAAGTTATACAGCGAATATTTTAAACTCGTTTATAAAGTTGATGTAATTGTACAGATTTAATACTGTTACAATTCTTGGTATAGTGCTACCAAGAATTAACCCAGAAAACAAACTTGCAGAAGCGAAAAACATAAAGAATAACAACAGAAATTTATACTTGGTTCAGAAGTTCTTTGTAAAAGAATTTCCTACATCCAAGTTGGCCAGTGAGGGTCAAACGCCCTCTAGCATGCACTTTTATTCAGAAACAGAAAATACAATGTTTACAGTAGCTATCACAAGCCACAATACAAGAATACTCAAATAAAAGTGACCTCAGAAGAAAAACGCACAGCTGCAGATATGAAACTAAAGACTAAAGGCAACAACATACAATAAACACATTTTAATCAAGATACAATCAGAAATTAAAGAAGAAACCAAAGAAAGATATCACCAAGCACAGCCTTGACACTGCCAATCCAGCAGCTCTCTTCACCGAGATGACCAAGTTCTTCTTCACCAAAGAACCCGCAACTGTGTAAGAAACTCGAAACTCTGTTCTCATGTATCTCCAGAAATTGCACCGATTAAATTGCTCGCCTTGATGTCATGAACATTTTCTTCTGAATCACCGAGTTGAGATTCTCACTGTAACCCACTCAAATCTCCTCACAAAACTCTCAACCATAACCTTAGAAGAGCATTTTTCATGAAGAAGAAAAAAGATAGCATCGAACAAAAAACTTTGTTGAATAAATAATCAACTATGTTCACATGCCACGATGTCAAAGTAATAATAGGGCAAATAGACTAAGGCAATAACAGCTACCAAAAACTCACCGTTTTTTATTGTGATGCCATTGAGACTAATACCATCAATTGGGCTTCAGAATATAGGCTCAAGTATCATTGGCCCATAAAAAATAAAACCAAAACGAGAGCAGCAAAAAAATAGCAGACATAAGAAATTATAAAGTGGACCACAATTATAACAGTAATGTATTTAACATGATTAGTAAATATTTCACAACAACAGTGGTATCAGAGCCGGGTTGGGCTCGAGCTAGCCTGGTGATTGGCTAGGAGGCGGGTTGAGTACTTGGGTCCTGAGGTACTCGGTTGAGGGGGAGTATACCAATGTTGGGTTTCACATTTGAGGGGGAGATTGTTGAGATATTCAAGTGTGGTGAGTCCCACATTGGTTGGTAATGGGCTAAGTGAAGAGTATATAAGTGGAAGGACCCATGAACCCAATGCCTTAAGGTTTTGGGTTGAGACATAGTGTCAGATCCACTTGCTACGGTTGGTGTAGCCTTAGCTCATTGGTGGTCGCCCCCCGCCACGGGCTTCCCCTTGGACCCGCCTGACAAATACATATTATATTTAATATTAATTAAAGTGTACATTATTTTTTCTGTTATCAATTAAATTATATATTATTATGTAAAAATTTGTGTATTACTAGGGGAAATTATCTGGATTTTGGAATGGAACCCGCAGATACTCAAACCGTCAGTAATCAATCCTGTCCTAAACCATACGAGCAATAAGGGAAAAGTTTTTTGTTTTAATTTTTTATTTATTCATATTGATTAAAGTGATGTGTGGTAAAAAAATTAATTTATTGCTTTTTTAATAACAAATTACGAAAATATAGTCGTTTTGAAATTATTTACGCAAGTGTAGCAGTTAAACACGCCCACATGAGACGTGACCCAATGAAGAGAGACACACCCATGTGGGGCGTGACTTAAGAGAGAGACACGCCCACATGGGGTGTGACTAGAAGAGAGACACGCCCAACACGGGCGTGACCTCCCTAGTCTAGTAATGGCTTTCTCTTTCAATTTCATGTATTGTATTTATGGAAATATTAAGATAAATGAGTTGTAGCCTCGTTCTGAAACTATTCATGTATTTTATTTATGAAAATAAAATTCTTCTCTTTCAATTACCAACCAAAGTAAATGAGCTTTGTCTCGGTTCTCAAATTTTTTTAAGATAAAAAGTACTTTTAGTAAAAGTTGTAGATTGTCAAAGGGAAAAGTTGTAGCCCTTTATTAGTACGAGAAAAAGTTAGGTAAAAATGGTTAAGATTGGCAACCATAATTAATGGCACGAGTCATGTCCTCTACGACATCCAAGTTCCAACAACTCACTACGACTTCCAACGCGTGATGCTATAGGTTAGGGGGTAGTGGTGTGACAATGATAGTTTAGAGAAGAGATGAATGTTGTCAAGAATAATAAAATATGCTTTATATTAAGAGAGGTCACGTCTCACTTGGGCGTGTTTCTCTCTTAGGTCACGTTTCACATGGGTGTGATTGGGTCACGCCCCATGTGGGTGTGTCTCTCTCTTAGGTCACGTCCCACATGAGCGTGTCTCTCTATTGAAACACGCCCATGTGAGCATGTTTGAGTGCTATATTTTCGTAAATAATTTTAAAACGATTACATTATCATAATTTTTTATTAAAAAAACAATAAATTAATTTTTTTTGCTAGTGATATGTACCAACCACTTTTCCAAATGCTGCCACACGGTATTGCATGTAAATTATTTTAGGTAGTGTTTGGTTGAAGGATTATTTTGGATTGATGGGAAAGTGTAAGTGGATATTGAAGAATACCATGTTTGGTTCAGGTTTTTTCAAAAAAATACTAGGCAAATGAGATAGATGGGGAAATGACTTTTGTGTTGATTTTTGGATGAAATTCACTGTTACAGAATACCACTTGAGATGTGGTATTTTGAGATAACTGGGGAAGTGAAAAAACAGGTGCAAAGTTTCTCCCGAACATAGATTTTGCAAATTTAAATAAATTTCCCTGGTAATATTTCGGTCAACCAAACAACTATTTTTACATTTTCCTACCAAACTCATTTTCCAACCATTTCCCTAGTATTCAAAAAAATTCTCCTCAACCAAACACCCCCTTAGGGTTTATTGTTTGATACGAGAAAAAAAAGGACTCTCACTATTTTTATTACTTTTATATGTATAAAAGATAAATTATCTTCTACGTCATGACAAATATTAGTATTTGGAGAAGGATATTATAGCAATTAATTAAGATTATTATCAATGTTACTACCAATTAATTTTATCGTTAGAGCGATTATATTGATCTAACGGTTATATTTATTTTCATCTTTGTATGATTATGATTTTTCATATTTAATGCTTTATATTTATTTCTACCTTTGTATGATAATGATATCTCATATTTAATGCTTTCACAATAAATATGAGAAATCATAACTATACAAAAATAAAAATAAAAATAATTAATGATCAACATAATCGATCTAACGGTGAAATTAATTGATATTAATTAATTAGTTGTTACAATATCATACTCCTACGCCTTAATATTCTAGGGAAAATATAAGAATCATGTTACAGGAATGACACTGTTCATTCCTGCAACAAGGATCCGGCGCCGTATCTTGAGGATACGGCGCCGTATCCTGATTTTGATTTGACTTTTTTTTTTTTATTCGTGAGACCTACACTTAATTTGTGTGTGCAGAAAAATAATCTTGTCATGTGACATGACAAAAAGCGAATCCATATTTTATATAGATACGCAGATATTATAATGTTTATTCACTATATAGAAGACTAACGTTAAATGAAATGTCGATATTGCCCTGAGTGGTAAGGTCTTCTTCAACTGGTGGTGTCTGTAGCTGCTGCAACGAACGAGAACGCATCGCATCGCATCATTTTGATTGTTCTTCTTCTGCTTCTTAGATGGTAAGATTTTCTTTAACTGTTTCAATTCTCAATTTTAGTGCTACCAATTCCATTTCCCTTTTCCCTTTTTCAACTAACAACAAATTAGGGCTGTGCTTCTTCTCACTAACCAGTTAATTTGTTCGTGTTCCCAATTCATTGCGTGCTTGTGAGATTCTCTAACCGCGATTTTTGATTTTGGTTTTTCCCGATTATGTAGGCTAATCGGCACACGATTATTCTAATGCAGACCTCTCAGAACAGAGCAACTAGAACATTCATGGATTATGAATCAATAACTCAGGCCATGGATGGTATTAATACTAGTAGCATAGTAGTACTTTGTATTTCACACAATTTTATTTTTTTTAATCTTTTTTTACTTTTGTGCTTCTGTTATTTTAATTGCTTGACTTCACTATAGATAGATGCTTCTGATATTGCTTTTCTTACTTAGAATACAAGACTTTATGTGCAATTTCATCAATAGAAATGAACAGAGTGCAAGTAGGCTCAGTTTTTTTTTTTCTTTTTTTGAAGTACTGATAAATTCTCTTTCTGTGAGTGGAGGGCTATGTTTTCTTGTATTCATTTGGAAATCATTGTGCATGTAATATTTTGGTTTTAAACTATGACTTTGGAATAGTGGATTCTGGAATAGGAAGTATGGATACTGAAGTTGATGCAAGACACATTAGAAAGAACAAACTTGAAAGATCAATTCATGTTGGTTTTTTTTATTTCTTCTCTTCTCTTCTCATACACTGTCTCCTTGAAAATGCCACTGGAATTAGAAAAATCCCTTGTTCAGCTGGGTTGAACCGGAGATGTCCAGCAAGTATGAACTGGTGCTTTTGTCTACGGATAAGTGGTAGAGATGCCTGACAATGGTGTATTAGTATCTCCAGCCAATACTCCGATGAGAATAATCAGGGGGTGAGTGTGTGTACACCTGGGGAAGTGAGAATGCTCTAGATAGTTGAAAGCCAATAATTTTCAAGTGTAAGCATTTATGTCCTCTTTTGACACTGAATCAGCCTTTATAGAGGCTTTGTGGCAGTTGAGAGAGTGTGGGGTGATCCAGACTGCATGAAATCCCCAGGTGATGATCGTGAGGGAGAACCACGACATGGGCTGGAGGGACTCGGTGGGCTAACAGGCGAAGGCGAGTTCTGCAGGAGTGCCCTTCCTCTTCACCAGCGCCTGGTGTCCAATTCTGAGCTAGGGCCTCAATTCCGAGAACTCTACCCGGAACAGCCCTTAAAACCTAAACAAGATGCCCGCATGATTATAAGCCAACTCTAGATGCATCATAATTTATGCTTGCCGTTGATATAATATTTTTTTTTTATTTCTTTTTGTGGTACAAGCTGGTATAATTTTGATATGATATTCTTTGTTGATGCTTTGTGTTCTTGGCTATAAGTAGAGGTTTTAATCTTGTGCTTATACAGGCATATGTGCACTGTATGAAAGGAAACTGAAAGAGTTGAATCCGGCTATCAGAAATCTCTCTTATGACATTTCGGATCTCTACAACTTCATAGACGGTCTTGCAGACATGAGTGCTCTAGTGTATATCTCTCTTTCTCTCTCACTCTCAAAACTCATGTGCATGTGTAGTGCTTTAATGCAGTCACAACTGCGTTAATACAAAGTACATCTCTGATTTTCGGCCTTTTATGATTTTCAAAACTTGCTTGAAAAATTATATTCAGCAAAGAAGAAAGAAAAAAGTGAAGCTAGACAAAAAAAATGAGAGGGAATATACTGACACTTTGAGCTCATCACAATTCTAAAGTTTTTGTACTTAGTTGTTTGTTCATTTTACCTAGATTTTGATGTTGTACTTGAGGTAGAAGTTTCTTTTTAAGAAAAGTAGATCAAGGGGGGAAAAATGAACTGTCTCTCTGTTGGCTTAACTGATGTATAGAGTTGACATTATTTTTCTCCATGAGTCAAGTGAAAATTAACATTATGGGTGAGAAAATCGGTAGCAATTATGAGTCTTCACAAACTGAGTAGCTTGTTTGTTGCTATTGTTTTTTTCCTGATGAAATAGATGACCATTAAAAAAAATTGATTATTTAGAGGTCCTGAACTCTCCTTCCCTACCTGCCTCTCTTTTTGCCTAGAGGGTTGGTAAGAACTTAATGAATCATGTCTATTGCTGTATCATATGTTAGCTCTGACGCTCTCTAGAAAAAAATTAGGAATATATGTGGACTCACGTAATAGCTTAATTCTATTGTCTATGTATATATGTAATAGCTTAATTCAACTGTCTATGTATATATTTGGCTGTTTCATATATTGGGCTTTCTATGTGCATGTGGTTTCGCTTGGCAGAGACTAATATTACCGGCTGTTTGGTTTCTACTTGCAGTTATGATAGTTCAATTCATGCTTACTTGCCTCATGATCGACAGTGGATTAAGCAACGAACCTTTCAACATTTGAAGAAATTGGCACATTGATTGATCCTCTGATTTTTAGCTATTTAATGTAAAGTAAATCGCGAAGGGAAGAACCTGCCTGTTATGTGGGCTATACTCCGATGGCTATGTTGGTTGATATGAAAATTCACATGCTTTTGGGACATCTTTATAATATAAATAGTTAGTGCCACTGAAATTTCAAAAACAAATGATTGTTGTGGCGTGTTTTACTTTATCCTATGTGTAAAAGCCTTGGCCTTTTCTGAAAACCTGCATCGTGTACTATTGTATTACTTATCCTTAGATCTATGATTCACAATGTCATATGAATGCTAGTTTTGAGAGTTTATATTTGACATGACTAATTTACCTTGGTAGTGGAGATGGGATTATAGTTGTGACATAGCAATGCTGGTAGAAAAAACAACTCACGATTTAGGCTCATATGCTGTAATCCATGCTATCTTTCAGATTAATAATATTTTAAAAGTGTTACACATTCATTTAGAACAACAGCAAAATCAATCTATTTATGTAAATGTGTATATTCTACCATTTACCCTTAATCTTATAAATGCGAACAACTTTAAACTCTCTGCGTTTGTCTTTTATCTTTAGATCATAACCTTAAGCTTTCCATAACAAGGAGCAGTAACAGCCTTAACCCGAAGAACGCATCTAACTATCCACTTTGTAATATGTCCGATCTCTTGGGGCACTTTTTACCTCAGTTTACTTTAGCTTCTCAACCGGCATTAAGCTCATGCTCTAGTTACCACTAATAGTTACAGTCTATTGACTAGATACAAACATAATGTAGTGTTACTGTCGTTCACGAATTAACCCAAAAATAAGTACTGACGTCAACAAGGTTAACTGCACCTGATTAATGCCTTTGAGTTCCATCTTCACATCGTCTTTTGCATTTCACAAGTGGGTGATCTTGAGAATTATGGACTTACTTAGGGGTGTTCATCAACCGATCCAAATTGCAGTTATCGAACCGAAAAATCGATAACCGAAAAATCGAAAATCGAAAAATCGAAAACCGAAAAAAAATCGCAAATTTTAATTGGATTGGATCGGTTTTTGGATTGGTTGATGAAAACTGATCCAATCCAAACCGATCCAATATATTAATTTTTCTCTACCTACTTAAACCTTTCTCCAATCATAGCCCACAAATTTCTAAACCCAAGACTCATTAACCCATCATCTAAATCCAAGAAAAAACCTAGTCATATCTCATCAACAAAATTTCATCTGTGTAGAGCTTCATATCTCATTGCAACAACAAAGAATCATATTATCGTTTACTAATGCTTTTGTATTAAAAAAAAATACAAAGCCAATATATACAAAAGATATGTTATTTGCACAATAATTATGAAACAAATTTTAGGATTTTTAAAAGGGGAATGATATTGTAACAACCAATTAGTGTTACTACCAATGTTACTACCAATCAATTACACTGTTAAATCGATTATGTTGATCAACGATTGTATTTATTTTCATCTTTGTATGGTTATGATTATCCACATTTAATACTTTATATTTATTTTCACCTTTGTATGGTTATGATTCCCCATATTTAATGTGAAAGCATTAAATATGGAGAATCATAACCATACAAAGATGGAAATAAATATAATCGTTGGATCAACATAGTCGATCTAACGGTGAAATTGATTGGTAGTGACATTGGTAGTAACTTTAATTGGTTGTTACAATATCCTATCCCTTTTTAAAAAGCCAAAAATCGATCCAATCCAAATCGAAAAAAATTGGATTGGATCGGATCGAATTTGGAAAAAAATAAAAATCGAATGGATGATTACATGATCAAACCGAAGGAATTTGATCGAATGATTTTTGCTTCTAAAACTGATCTAATCCAGACCGCGAACACCCCTAGCCTTACTTCATGGAAACTTGAACGAAGATTTTACATTTCATAAAACCAACTTTTGCCTACTAGATATTAAGAGAAACTAAGTAAAAGATAATCCTAATTCTAATTGCTTAGGTTGGACCTAAGTGGTAATCACCCCATCTGATAATCCTTGAAGTGCTTTGGTGTCCCTCTTGGGCCGTATGTATGTTTGGGGTGTAACACAATCCCAGTCTTTCACCCATTCATCGTTCTCTGTTCATTTATTAAAATACTAAACACTACTCATTAACCACTAAGTATTATGTAAAATCTTTACATATTATTAATTACACAAGCCTATGCTAGAAAAACAAAAAACAAAAAACATTTAAAAAAATTATAACAAAAATTTACTAATTCATTAATTTAAAAGAAACTCTAAATATTAATCAACATATTTAGTGCAACAAAATTATTGCTATGCACTGAAAATAGTAATTACAAAATTACAAAATTGATAATATGTAGAAATTATTAATAAATATAAAAATTACAAAATTGTTGATCTCGGCAATGATGTTTTCTTTAATGTTAAATTACTTTGGTGTGCCAGCCAAGTTGGTGAGATTCCCATGGATGGTACGTGGGATGAGTGAGTTGCCTTGTTGGTCAAGTTTGGAGTTTTTTTGGCCTTCTAGACCTTTATCGGATTAGGCCTTTTTTTTTTTTTTTTTTTTGATAACATATCGGATTAGGCCTTTATCTCGCATACGTTGGGTCCAGATCACTATATATTAATGAGAATCTAAGTTAACTCAATAATCATTAATTACTAGAATTATTATCATTAATAATTATAATAATGTATTAATTAATAATTTTAATAATTTAATATCTTAGGTGATTAAATGTGAGAATATGGATGTTTTATGAAAAGATTAATGAAATTTTTCTTAAAGAATTGGGCCAAAAGATTGGCATAATCTTGAAATATCGCACAAAGGATATGTCACTAAAAATATTACATCGTGTAATGCAATTTGAATTCTGTGTAATGCAATTTAAATTCTTTCTAAGGGATTTTTTTTCAATACAAAAACTTTAAAAATAAATTTTTTTTATTAAAAAGTGAAATCGTAGAGGACACCATTTTGGGAAATATGTTCCCAATCACCTTATTTTGGGTTTTTTCCCGAAGGAATTGACCCAGATGGTCAAACAACAAGGGTTCTCTCTCTTTACTTTCAAGTTTCAACAACAACATTCTTTGACCTATATATTTTATTTATTTATTTATTTTTGTTTAGGCACCCACTTCTAGTATCGAGTTAAAAAACTAGGCACTAACAAATTTTAAGGGTATTTCTAATTGATTATATAGTGTGTCTGGATGAAAGTTTACAAAATTGATTTCACATACTTAATATGATCTTTTTTTCTTTTAAGTTCTAGAATTATGTTGACGTTTGTTTCCTAAACAAGATATCACTGCAATCAGGGCACTTATGCCTCTTTAACATGATTTTAGTTATCGTAGATACCATGCAATATCTGATCACCAACGGGGCACTAGGGCTGTGCGTGGGTCAGGTCAGGTCAGGTTTTTGTCCGACTCGACCCAACTTGATTTTTATAGGTCAGGTATTTTGACTCGACCCGCTTTAATTTGATCCAAGTCAGGTCTAACTTGGTTTGGATTTTGTTGAACTAGTTCAGAACCGGTTCGGATCTGACCTGACTTGGTTTCTGATGAGGGTCTGACTTGATTTCTGAACTGGGTCAAATCTGACCTGACCCGTTTTTGACTTGGTTTCCTCAAAAAATTTTGTCGAAATTTCAACATTACAAAAGACGAAAATTTCGTCACAAAATTATTTTTTCGTCGAAATACTTTTTGTCAAAAAACAACGAAATTTTTTCTCTAACGAAAACTTTTGACAGAAATGTGTACCGCTGAAAATTTTGATGGAAATGTTTTTTATCAAAAAATTTGACGAAAATATTTAGTCGAAAAATTTCGATGGAAATGTGTTTCGCTAAAAATTTCGACGAAAATATTTTTTTTTGTCAAAAAGTTTAACGAAAATGTTTCCGTAAAAAACTTTCGCCGAAATTTGAATTCTGTAAGGAATTTTGATGAAATTTTTTTTCGTAAAATAATTTCGATGAAAATATGTTTCGTCAAAATTTAACGAAAATATTTTGACAAAAATATTTAGTCGAAAACTTTTGATGAAAATGTGTTTCGCTAAAAATTTTTACGACATTTCTTTTTTTGTCAAAAAGTTTAACGAAAATGTTTCCGTTAAAAACTTTCGTCGAAATTTGAATTCTGTAAGGAATTTTGATGAATTTTTTTTCCGTCAAAAAATTTCGATTAAAATGTGTTTCATCAAAATTTAATGAAAATATTGACAAAAATATTTAGTCGAAAACTTTTGATGCAAATGTGTTTCGCTAAAAATTTAGACGAAATTTTTTTTTTCTCAAAAAGTTTAACGAAAATATTTCCGTCGAAAACTTTCGCTGAAATTTGAATTCTGTAAGGAATTTTGATGAAATTTTTTTCCGTCAAAAAATGTCGATGAAAATGTGTTTCATCAAAATTTAACGAAAATATTTTGACCAAAATATTTGGTCGAAAACTTTTGATGAAAATGTATTTCGCTAAAAATTTCGACGAAATTTTTTTTGTGTCAAAAAGTGTAACGAAAATGTTTCCGTCGAAAACTTTTGCCGAAATTTGAATTCTGTAAAGAATTTTGATGAAATTTTTTTCTGTCATAAAATTTCGATGAAAATGTGTTTCGTCAAAATTTAACGAAAATATTTAGTCGAAAACTTTTGATGGAAATGTGTTTCGCTAAAAATTTCGACGAATTTTTTTTTTGTCAAAAAGTTTAACGAAAATGTTTCCGTCAAAAACTTTCGTCAAAATTTGAATTTTGTAAAGAATTTTGATGAAAAATTTTTCTGTCAAAAAATTTCGATGAAAATGTGTATCGTCAAAATTTAACGAAAATATTTTGACAAAAATATTTAGTTGAAAACTTTTGATGGAAATGTGTTTCGCTAAAAATTTCGACGAAATTTTTTTTTTGTCAAAAAGTTTAACGGAAATATTTTCGTCAAAAACTTTCGCCGAACTTTGAGTCTGTAAAGAATTTTGATGACATTTTTTTCCGTCAAAAAATTTCGATGAAAATGTTTTTCGTCAAAATTTAACGAAAATATTTAGTCGAAAACTTTCAATGGAAAAGTGTTTCGCTAAAAATTTTGAAGAAATTTTTTTTTTTTGTCAAAAAGTTTAACGAAAATGTTTCCGTCGAAAACTTTCGTCGAAATTTGAATGCTGTAAAGAATTTTGATGAAAATGGAAATGTGTTTTGTCAAAAAAATTTATGAATATGTTTTTTTGTGAAATATTTTGACGAAATTTAGATTCCGTAAAAAAAATTGACAAAAAAAAATTTGCAAAAAATTTTGATGAAA